TCTTTAGAGAGACTGTAAAATTTTGATTTTCTTCTATTATAGTCGAATCTAGTTCCATTCTAATTCAATTAAAGCCAAAAAAAAGTGACTAGCAATTGTTAGGGTGGTGCAAAAGAAACTGCCGATGGGTATCAGCTCTGATTTGTCAGAAACGAGTGATGCTAACAGCATTATTACTAGAGGCATTTTTTTAAATGTTTTGTTTGCATATTTGTTTGCTATTTATATCGACATTTGAATTTTTTGGTTGTTATTTATTTTATTTTAAAATGTTGATATTTTTATTTAGATCATGGCCGAGCAAAAGTTTGTGCTACGAGCAGCATTACTCTTTAACTTCAAAATTAGAAAATCTGCTGCCGAATCGCATCGTTGTCTCGCAAGGAACCAAAAGAGAAAAGAGGATCAAATTTGTAGAGAAAAGGAACCAAGTCTGCTGCCGAATCGCATCGTTCTCTCTGTGCTGTTCTCTCTGTGCTGCTTTCGGAGATGGCAGTTTGTCTCTCAGGCAGTGTCAGACTTGGTTTCGACGATTCCGAGAGGGAGACGAGGCTTTGGAAGATTACGAGCACGGTTCGAGGCCAGAAGTCGTGAACGAAACCAAACTGAGGGACGTTATTCAGGCCGATCCATGCCAATCTGCTCGAGATCTTGCGAAAATATTCCATTGTGATCATGTCACCATCGAACGCCATCTTTTTTTTGAATTTACGGTCAAATCGGCAGTTTCTTTTGCACCACCCTAATATTTTATTGTATTTTCTTAGGATTTTCTCAACGGGCCCAAACGTGACTTGGTGGTGTAATGGATAAAACGCTTGAATACAAAACGAGCGCCTCGTATTTTGCTCGAGCTATCGAGCTCCTTTTCGGGAAAACTTTTGTTTGTCGCGTGAAATCGTGAAATTTTATAGAAACTTATCCCAGACTTATTTCAGGCTTATTTCAGGCTTATCTCAGACTTATTTCAGGCTTATCTCATACTTATCCCAGACTTATCTCAGACTTATCCCAGACTTATCCCAGACTTATCTCATACTTATCCCAGACTTATCCCAGACTTATCTCAGACTTATCTCAGACTTATTTCAGGCTTATTTCAGACTTATTTCAGGCTTATCCCAGACTTATTTCAGACTTATCCCAGACTTATTTCAGGCTTATTTCAGGCTTATCTCAGACTTATTTCAGGCTTATCTCAGGCTTATTTCAGGCTTATTTCAGGCTTATTTCAGGCTTATCTCAGGCTTATTTCAGGCTTATCTCAGACTTATTTCAGGCTTATCTCAGGCTTATTTCAGACTTATCTCATTTAGCCAAATCCATTTGACTTTCCCTTGTAAGCCACTTTTGATATTCGATGTTTTTCAATGATATCATTGAAAAATGAAAAGTTAGAAAAATTTTGGCAATTTATTCAAAACTCTTCCTCGTTTTCGTTTTCGTTTTTATTTTTCTTGTTTATCAGTTGGTATTTTGGGTATTTTGAAGTGGGGAAAGATTTGGTGATGTCATAGAAAATTTTCTATTTAAAGGGTAAAGTTAGAAAGTCCTTTTAGCACTCCTTTTAGCACTCCTTTTAGCACTCTACAATGCCAAAAACTGGCCCTTTTAAGGTAAACGTAAAGTTTAAGAGGTGAAAAAGGAAATCCAACGCAGAAACTATCGCCTTTTTGTGGTAGTATTTGATTATTTTCATGAGCAAATCTTTTTCCCCCTCATCGGAATCGTTGATCTGCTAGCAGGGTGCTAGCAGCCGGTGTTTTAGCGGATAGAACGATTCTAGAAACCGCTGCAATAACCATGTGTTTTCTCGTTGATTACGATTGTTCAAATTAAATTGACTCTGGCGCTTTTGTTGGGAATTTTCATTTTTGTTAATTCGTTTTTCTATACGCTAGCTATACGTCGATAAATTACCGTAATCTTTTCTTTATTTCAATTCAACAGATCTGGCTTTATTTTGGGATTCGGCTTCAAAGAGCGTTTTGATTTTCAACTCTGACAAGCAAATCTTTTTTGTGAATTTATTTCTTTGAAACTGACGCTTGACTGCTCTGGATTCCCCACTTTTTTTTTTTTTTTTTTTTTTTTTTTTTTTTTTTTTTTTTTTTTTTTTTTTTTTTTTTTTTTTTTTTTTTTTCTCTTCTTTTTCTTTCTTCTTCTTCTTATTATTTTTACTCTTCTCTCTTTTTTTTTTTTTTTTTTTTTTTTTTTTTTTTTTTTTTTTTTTTTTTTTTTTTTTATATGGTAAGAGGTTTGATCAAGAGGCGTCGTTTGACCCTTTCCGCCTTCCCCCTTCCCATTACCTTTCACCCCTCCACCATATGGCCATTCATTCAATCATTTCATTCTCCAATCACACATTGCCATCTCCTTTCAATCAATTTCTAGTTTTTCCCAATTCATTCCAACCATCCCATGTCTAAATTTTCAGATTTCTGGTTCGGGTTGGGTGAGGCGGAGAAGAAGAACAAGGAAGAGAAAAACTCGGTGAAACAGGTAAAACAATACAAAAAATTCAAACAATTCAAGCAATTCAAGCAAAAAGAACAAAACCCCGTCTTTTAGCCAATAAGCTAACGTATTAAATGTTTTAATTACTCAACTAGTTGACGTTCTCTCCAATTATTCAAAAGTTAAACCTGCAGATCTCCACGTAATGTACAGAGTGACCGCAAACTATCGCCTCGCAGTTTTTTGGCTATCTCTTAACTCTATCTTCGCGAACCGGTTTAATTCCTTTTTAACATGAAAATTGCAATAATTTTCTATGAAGAAAGTTCTTTAGTTGGCTGGCTGGCTGGCTGGCTTTAGTTGGCTGGCTTTAGTTGGCTGGCTTTAGTTGGCTGGCTTTAGTTGGCTGGCTTTAGTTGGCTGGCTTTAGTTGGCTGGCTTTAGTTGGCTGGCTTTAGTTGGCTGGCTTTAGTTGGCTGGCTGGCTGGCTGGCTTTTAGTTGGCTGACTTTAGTTGGCTGGCTTTAGTTGGCTACAATACACTATTTCCAATGAACAATACAATATTTACAATATTTACAATAGAAAGTTGAATCAAGCGCCAAGAAATCGACAAGAATTGACTCAATTGCCACAATCTAAAACATAAGCTCTATGATTTCAAGATTTTCACTTAATTCTTTATGCTTTTTCGTTTAATTTTCCCAACACAATCATAATTTACCTACAAATTTACGAATTAAACAATTCTAATGAAATTAAAGTCATAGAATTGATTAACTAATCCAATTTTAAACACTTCAAAGCCATTCAACTAAGGATAAAACTCGAAAAGTCCACCACCAACAGAATCTTTGAAACTTTAGCTGCCAATGAAAACAATGAAAACAACAAACAAACATGAAAACAAACAATTCATTGTTTTCATTAGTTGAATCAAAGCTGATCGCCTCGGAAGTGATTCTCTCGCCATCATTCTTGTCATAGTTTATCAAATATTCCTTCTAAACAGCTATTCGATCATTCTGGAGTGCAGAAAGGGTACTGTAGCTTTCTACATGCTATAGCAACATTTCAATGCTGCCAATGCAAACAATGAATTGACTACCAATGCAAACAATGCCATTCAAAAGCTTCAAATTATAAATTTCATCATTTAGTTGAAGAGGATTGAGGCATTCTAAAGCAAAAAATGTTTTCTGATCATCGAGTTTCCCGAAAAGGTTTTCCCCCGCTTAAAGTTTGCACAGCCTCGCCCCTCCATTCCCTATCTTTTGCCGAAATTACCTTTTGTGCAGCTCTTCCTTTCTCTTCCCCTTTCTCTCGTCCAAACAAACACCAAAAACATACACATTTTCTTTTGAGTATTTCTTTAATCTAACATTACTTTCTTTTGGGCTTTGAAGTTTTAAACCGGTTCGCGATTAAACCAATCAAATTAAAAACGGTTTAAAAAGGAAAAAGAGAAAAACCTCAATCAGTTAAACCGGTTTAACCGATTGAGGTTTAATTGATCAAAAACAAAAGAACAAAAATTAACAACAACAGCAAGAACAATAACAATAACAAGAACAAGAACAAGAACAACAAGAACAAGAACAACAGCAACAGCAACAGCAAGAACAAGAACAAGAACAGCCGCAACAAAAAGAACAAGAACAAAAAAAACAACAACAAACAACAGACAAAGAACAACAACAGCAGCAGCAACAACAACAACAACAACAAACAACAACAACAAACAACAACAACAACAACAAAACGAAAAAAACAACAACAACAACAACAAGAACAGCAAGAACAAGAACAACAAGAAACAACAAGAACAAGAACAACAAACAACGGCAGACAACATCAAGAACAAGAACAAGAACCAAGGAACAAGAACAAGAACAACAAGAACAAGAACAACAACAACAAACAACAACCAACACAACAACAACAACAACAACAAACAACAACAACAACAACAACAACAACAGCGAAGAACAAGAACAACAAGAACAACAAAAAGAAAAAGAACAAGAACAACAACAACAACAGACAGCAGCAACAGCAAGAACAAGAACAAGAACAGGAACAAGAACAACAACAACAAGAACAAGAACAACAACAACAACAACAACAACAAAAACAAACAACAACAACAACAACGACAACAACAACAACAAGAACAATCTATCAAGTGAATAAAGCATAATTTAACATTACATCTTGCATACAACATTACACACTTTTCACAATTCCTCTTCACAAAATACCCATCCCTTTGAGTACAGTATCTTTTTTCAAGGGAAACAGGTTCTCAAGAGTCGCTCTCGATGATCTATTGCCCCGCCTTGTTGTAAAAAAAAATAATCCTTCCCATAACGATTGAAATCTTTTGACGTTCGCACGGAAAAGTGATAGATTGGCGTGAAAAAATATTGTATATGGCTGTATATAAATGAAAAAATCCTTTCCCAGGTATTAGACTTGGGTGATCGGACTGTGGTAACGGGTGTGGTGGATCGATTGTCGAGTGGAAGTCACCGATTCGCATCGATGGATCCGATTGTGAGGGCGCTGTGCAGGGCAGCGAAGCAGGAAAAACAATGGGATGATCTTAAAGAGGTTTTGTTCAATGTTCAAAAAGCAGAAATGATTGATTCTTGAGCTTGAGCTTGAGCTTTGATCAAAGCTAGTGTCTTTTCAAGTTGAGGAAGCGATTAGCAAATGTTAGAAGACACTAAACACTAAATCAGACACTTCTAAACAACTAAATCACAGCAAGACTTCAACTTTGGCTTATTTAGCTAACAAAATCTTATATCTATAGTTCTAAATCAGGTAGAGGAATACGACGAAGACGATTGGGAGGATGAGCGTCGTAGGCCGCTTGGAGACGTGTTTTCAACGAGAATGACACCATCGAAAATCTCAGAGCAACAAAAGCAGCCAGACAGCATCGACGTGAGGTGAGGAAAAACTAAAAATAGTAAAACTATAACAACAGCTTAAACGAGAGCTTCAGAAAAAAACTATTTCATAGATTCATTTATGTTAAGTTGAGAACAGTGTAGACAAATCAGACAAATCTATAGAATCTTGCTAGGAAATGGTCCAGACTGGGGCTGACGTTTCAGGAAAAGGAAAGTTCCGACTACTTTACTAATAATGACCCCGAAAAGTTTAGTGGCTCGATTTTGGCTGTGATTCTCTCTCGTGAATCTGTACGCTAACAAGGGGAATGATTGAAACTGGGCTAATGACAAAGCTCGGACTCGGGAAAAGCTCGGAGTGCAAACACCAGTCGGATATCGGTATTTCAAATAACTATTCAGTTTTTTGTTCAAATCAAAATCAAAATCAAAATCAAATTTTGTCGGTGCCCGGACTTGAACCCTCAGACCCTTGAGCCTCCATGGGTTCTGTAGTCCGCCACACTAACCTCTAGCCACCGGCGCTCCTCGTTCGTTCGTGTGTGGCGCGCCCAAATTAAAATCGTGGCGAGAAAAATGCATTTAAAGTTTCGCCTTTTTGGGAAAAAATCGACCCCTAGCCAATAAGAGCGCGCCAAAAGCGAACGAACAAAGAGCAGTGGTGGCCTAGAGGTTAGTGTGGCGAGCCTAGAAAACCAATTTCCCTTTTGGCGGTGGGTTCAAGTCCCGCTACCGACAAACCTTTGCTTTTTGGGATTTTAATTTGAACAAAAATTGAATAGATATTTGGAATGCCACTGGTGTTTGCACTCCGAGCTTTTTCGTGGGTCCGAGCTTATCCTGAGCTCGGGTTCGACGCTAGCTTTGACGTCAACCCTAGTTTCAACCATTCCCTTGTTAGCGTACAGATTCATCGTACAGATTCACCGTACAGATTCATTGTACAGAGAAACTCACTAGAGAATCACAGCCAAAACCGGGCCACTAAACCTTTCACGGTCACTATTAGTACAGTAGTCGGCATTTTCACAAAACATACTTGGCAATACAATACTTTGTCTCACTAGCTTTTCTATAGAAAGTGAATCTAAATAATAGCACTAGATGCTATAGTAAACTCCACAAGACTCTTGTAGTGTTTCCCTCGTACGTGTAGAATGCAAGTGAGAAGGTCTTCTCGAATCTTTCCTTCCATTCACCGAAGATGTGTGGAGTGTTTACCCTCGACAAAACTTTTTCTCCTTTTCATCCCTGAAAACCTCATCGATCAGAGCAGAAAGTTTACCAAAAGATCATCTCGCTTTCAATTTCAAAAAGCCTGAAACGTCTTTTGCTTTTCGTTTACCTTTCGTTTACCTTTCGAATTCTTTTTCAAATAGTATTTTTCATAAAAAAATGAGTAAATATGGGCCTGAATGTTTGCTCTCAAAATTACGATAAAGTTTTCAATGGGTAGACGAGTTTTTCTTGGAGTTGAGGGGATTCACTGACCAGGGGTTAATGAGGGTATTGCTGGAGAAAATTTAAAAATAATTTGAGTTGAAAGGGAGCAAAGCATACGTAGCGTAGCATGCGTAGCGTATTATGCGTAGCGTATTATGCGTAGTGTAGCATGCGTAGTGTAGCATGCGTAGCGTAGCATGCGTAGTGTAGCATACGTAGCCTAGCATGCGTAGTGTAGCATACGTAGCCTAGCATGCGTAGTGTAGCAAGCGTAGCGTATCATGCGTAGTGTAACATACAGTACTGAACAATGAAATATGATATTTGAAAAAAGATCGTCACTTTCGCGCGTCTGTAACTCCCTTGTCTTTGAGTTTAAACTATTGGGTTGATGCATAATTGTCCCGGACTTCTTTTATAAATGATTTTATTTAACAAAAAATAACATAAATAGTTAGAAAAATATGTTTTAATTGATTATTCTGGAGCATATTCACCGCCTACATCAATAACTGATTGCCATTTGCTTGGAAGACGATCGATTCCACGAGCGAAGAATAAACGATCTTTGGAGGCAATCCACGCTTTAACATCGTCTATCAAGTCATCCAAATCGTTGTAGATCTTATTTGTTTGCCAATTTTTGAGCGATCGATTGACGTGGTAGTCCGTTGGGGCTTCTCCAGTTCTTTGAGATCGCGAAACGACTCTGCGGCAGACCATCCCTTTTCGAAGTGGTAGAGCATGATATGGCGAAGATGGATATGATTGTCGACACGCATTTTGTTCACTAAAGAATAACGAATATTTTAAAAAAAGAAATAGACAAAAAGCTTTCAAAACAAAAAAGATACAAGCACGCAAAAAGAAGTCCGGATAATTATGCATCAACCCAATATTAGTGTTCTACATTTCCTGAAAGCTCTTTTCAAGGGCTACACAATGATAATATTAATATTTAGAAATACGGTAAAGACAACGGAGTTACAGACGCGCGAAAGTGACGATCTTTTTTCAAATATCATATTTCATTGTCCAGTAGTGTACGTAGCGTAATATAAATAGCGTATCATACGTAGCTTAGCATGTGTAGTGTAGCACGCGTAGTGTAGCATGTGTAGTGTAGCATGCGTAGTGTAACATACGTAGCGTAGCATACATAGCATATCATACATAGCATATCATACATAGCGAAGCATACATAGCGTAGCATACATAGCATATCATACATAGCGTAGCATACATAGGGTATCATACGTAGCGTCACATACGTAGCCTAGCATGCGTAGTGTAGCATACGTAGCGTCGCATACGTAACACTTTTTCGGAGCTTAGCATATAGGCTCAAGTCTAGCTTGTCTTTGAATCCAGTTGAGACATCTTTTTGAACAATGTATCATCTTCAAAGAATCATAGAACCTAGCGTCTACAATAACAAACATTTCTCTAAAACTTTCTTAACCTTTCCATTTCCAGGCTGAGGCATGCGCTCGAGCCGCTGCAGCTACCGGTGACTGCTTTGCGCCACAATGGGTCGGCGATGTGCAGCTGCAATTCTTCATCGAACTCTAGAGATCTTCAAAATCCCCACACATTTCCCCCAAAATCTCATTTTGCATACTGGTCCCCCCTTTTCCCCGTTTTTCCCCCTTTTCCCCGTTTTTTTCTTCTTCTCCACACAAATTACGGTTTCGCTGCAATTTCGCTAAGTCATTATTTCTTCCCCAAAACTCTAAAAATATGGGTTTCTTTATTCTAGAAAATCTCGTCAAAAAAGAAAGTCGAATTTAACTGATTTGTCTATTTAAAGTTGAAAAATTGTCGAAAAATTGTTGAAAAATGAGAACTAAACTTGTTTTTGAAGTCTAGAAACGCTTTTTTTGGCATAGCTGGCCATTGTAATGAAATAGAAAGTTTGCGTTTTCGTTCTCAGCAGAAAGTAGTTTGCACAAAGCTCTAAGCAAAAAGCTCTGAGTAAAAAGCTCTAAGCACAAAGCTCTGAGCACAAAGCTCTGAGCAAAAAGCTTTCAGCACAAAGCTCTGAGCCAAAAGCTTTAAGCACAAAGCTCTGAGCAAAAAGCTCTGAGCAAAAAGCTTTAAGCACAAAGCTTTCAACACAAAGCTCTCAGCACCAAGTCCAAGTTTATATAGATAAATCAGTTTTTTAAAAAAAAGGCTAGCTTGGTTAGCTGTGCTTTCCATTTGTCTCTACCTATCCCCCAAACCTATTGATTAGGTCTACGAGTCGTTTGTACTCTCCCGTCGTTCAAATCTTCGTGTATTTCGTTTCGATTTGTGCTTCGTTTCGATTTGATATGATAGTTTATAGAAGATGATGTTTTCTTTAAAGTTTAAAGTTTAAAGATACTGTAAAGCTCATTTTTTAAAAGATACTGTAGTACAGTAGTCAAAGCAGTCAAAGCAAGTCAAAGCAGTCAAAGCAAGTCAAAGCAGTACAGTAAAAAGTCGGCAAAATAGCTTAAGCGCAAAAAGGAGCCATAAAGATTGCGCCGAATGGAATTCCCATTTACCGCTTCGCTTCGCTTGTTTGGTATCAAAATGTAGTCCTTGATTTGGGCTACACAATGGTATAAAAAACTTTTCGAAAAACTGTTGTCTAGTAGAAGAAAAATGGGAGCAAAGTGAGAGCAAGACTAGCAAAAAAAAAGACGTCGTTGTCAAGCCATTTTGCAGCCATTTTTCTTTGAAAATTAAAAGATATTCAATTTTTCGCTTTTTCCAACTGAAAGCCTAAACTGAATGGTTTATAGTTTTAATTAAAGAAAAAAGAAAAAGCTATTCAGTCATCAGTTAGACTGGCGAGTTTCAGTTTTGCAATTCGTATTGTTGCGTAATCTCTTTGAACTACATAATGAAACAAATTGCAAAAGCGACCGAGGCTGGCTTGATTTGGCTGGCTTTGGTTGGTTGGCTTTGGTTAGCTGGCTTGATTTGGCTGGCTTTATTTGGCTGGCTTTGGTTGGTTGGCTTTGGTTGGCTGGCTTGATTTGGCTGGCTTTATTTGGCTGGCTTTGGTTAGTTGGCTTTAGTTGACTGGCTTTATTTGGCTGGCTCTAGTTGGCTGGCTTTAGTTGGCATACTGTAATCAAAGACTAGGACTTTACAGTATCTTTTTTAAATTCTGCTAAACAATGGGTAGATCCCAAGCACTGGCGTTGATCCAGCCTTGTGCTAAATCAGCCTTCTCTTTTCTTCATTCTGCTGATTCTTTTTTTCCTAAAGAAATTTGATTTAACATCCAATTTCGATGATCAGTTTAGCTTTTTTTTCTTCTTTCTTTTTCTTTTTTTCTTCGATCTCAGAACCCTGGTGTTCTATTCATGCATTTGTTATGGTTCTATTCAAAAACATCACTAAGAACCGCTTTGTTAACGATTAGTCAATAAATAGTCTTTGCAAGGCCTCCAGAAATTTCGATTTTGACTCGAATTTTGGAAAGATTTTGAATTCCAAAAACATATTATGCAAGAAAAACGTTCGCATTTGATTTACAAGCGTTCGCATTGTTTACAAGCGTTACAAACGTTACAAACGTTACAAATGTGTGTTACAAACAAGACAAAACAAGCGCTTGATTTGTTAGAGGAAGAAAAAAAACCGAGTTTAACACAAACTTCCTTTAATTACGAACTTTTAAACGAAAATTCAACCTTTGGCAGTTTTTTGTTAAGCTGAATTTCTGAATTTGACATCGATAAGGCGTATATAAGGCGTTGTGTATGAGGCGACGTATATAAGGCGGTGTATATGAGGTGAGGTAGATGAGGCGACATATATAAGGCGGTGTATATGTCGTAGCCGCTTACGAAACTCAGCCGCTAACGAATGAGGGTATTTCCGGGCATCCAATCATAAAGTCACCCACATAAAAAATGTTCATAATACATAGATTTTATAATAAATTTTTGAAATTAACTCATTTGGTTGAGTAGAAAATTTTTTTGAGCCCCAAAATTTTAGGTTCAAAAATGCCTTAAAATGCCTATAAATAATTTTCTACTCAGCCAAAAAACTTGCCTAATAGCTCATTTTGTAGCCAATTTGATGTAGTTTCTTAAAGTAAAGCTACATTGAACATTTGGTTTTTCAAAGCTAGGAGAAAGAGGGCGAGGAACGACTTCAGTTGAACTCGGTCGCTGTTTTCACATTTGAGAATTGCCCTGAATTTGTTCCTCGCCCTCTTTTTTCTACTTTCAACGAAAAATTGTTTTAGATGGCTTTACTTTAAGAAACTACATCAAATTGGCTACAAAATGAGCTATTATCTGCGGTGTATCTGCGGCGAGGTATATAAGGCTGTGCATATAAGGCGACGTATATAAGGCGGTGTTTATGAGGCGACGTATATGAGGCGGTGTTTATGAGGTGACGTATATAAGGCTGTGTATATAAGGCGACGTATATAAGGCTGTGTTTATGAGGCGACGTATATAAAGCGGTGTTTATGAGGCGACGTATACAAGGCTGTGTATATAAGGCGGCGTATATAAGGCGGTGTTTATGAGGCGACGTATATGAGGCGGTGTTTATGATGCGACGTATATAAGGCGGTGTTTATGATGCGACGTATATAAGGCGGTGTTTATGATGCGACGTATATGAGGCGGTGTTTATGAGGCGACGTATATCAGGCGGCGCCGATGATCTTTTTGCATCAATTTTTTTGCAATAAGTTGCACTAAAAGTACGGTTATTTTTCCCAAGTTTACGTTTTCAAAAAAACGCATTAGTGGTGAGTCTAAAGGTAGCGTTCCTGTTCAAGGTTCGTTCAAAGTGTCCCTGTTTCCCTTTCGCTAGGCTGCGTGAGGATATCGATTTTCGAGCACAAACAAAACGGAAAAATAAAAAAAAACCCCCTTGATGGGTTAATAAAAGGTTTTTGAATGAATTTGAATACTTTTGAATGAATTTGAATCAAAATGAATACTTTTGAATGAATTTTAATACTTTTGAACAAATTTTAATCCTTTTGCCTGGCTCCAAAATATCCGCAAGCTTTTATTAAAGTTTTTCTGTTTCAGAGAAAAATTTGATAGACCTTTGATCGGAAAGTTTTTCTGTAATCAATCATTTTTGAAAGGATAAAGGTAATAGAGGGGTTCTTTTTGTTGTGGATGGGATTTGTGAACGGTTAGTGAAAGGGGAAAAGCTAAAATAGGTCACTTTGTGAGAGGGAAAGAGGGGCAATCAAGGGAGAACTCGAAACTCAAACCCAATTCAAGGCTTCACTTTTCGAAGAAAGCCTTCTCTGAGTTCTTCTCGCTTTTTCGAAGAGTTCTTTAACAGGATTGGTTTAGTTTTTGATCTGAAATTGATTCTATTTTGATTCTATTTTGATTCTAGAAATGATTCTATTAGAAATGTTCCTTTATTTTCTTTTATTTCGACTTAAACTCAGCTCAAATTCAAGCTCAGCTCAAATTCGTGCTTTGAGCTTTGATAAACGCGCATTTCCTGGCACATTTTTTTCCAATTCTCGCTAAAAGCACACTAAACGTACGCATTAGTGTGCTTGTGTGCTGTAGCGAGAATTGACGCAAAAAATCCCGACCGCCGCCTTATATACGACTCCTTTTAAAGAGATTCAGCTATTTAAGTGATTTGGTGACAAATTTCCTTCAAATGTAAAGATATTCAGCCGTTTAACTGGTAAATTCCCTTCAAATGTAAAGATATTCGATTTACTCGACGTGTAAAGAGGATTACTCGTAGTTACTCGGCCAAAAAAAGGTCGGTTAATCGAGTACAACGAACTCATGCAAATTTTACTCAAGGAACACACTCTAATCAGTCTCTAATCTCGTTTTTTCGATCGAGAAAGATAACCAAAGAAATTTCCAAAAAAGAATTCCCCAAAAACCAGTCCACCGAAACACCAAAATTGACCCAAATCGTTGCCTTGAGCCATTGGTTGACCTTGACGAGCCGACGAGCTGCTAGTCTCCCCTCTAGAACCATAAAAAAAATCCATCCAACTCATCGGCTTTCCTCAATTATTTCTATTATTTTGAGTTATTTTTATTATCATTTTTCTACAATTTATATATTTTGTGTCCGATTTAAATTTCTGTCCGATTTAGATTCAATCTACGTCCGTTTCGGACGTCCGATTTAGATTGAACTTATCGCGGACGTCCGATTTAGATTACAGTCTATATCGGACGTCCGATTTAGGTTACAGTCTATCGCGGACGTCCGATTTAGATTACAGTCTATATCGGACGTCCGATTTAGATTACAGTCTATATCGGACGTCCGATTTAGATTACAGTCTATATCGGACGTCCGTTTTAGATTACAGTCTATATCGGACGTCCGATTTAGATTACAGTCTATATCGGACGTCCGATTTAGATTACAGTCTATATCGGACGTCCGTTTTAGATTACAGTCTATCGCGGACGTCCGATTTAGATTCAATCTAAATCTTATATAGATTGAACAATAATACGTCTTATATTAGGTTGATGCAAAAGTCTTTTTCATTTTTTTCGTACTTCCGTTAAAAAGTAACAAATGCACCAATTGAACAACGGTTTATTGCATTC